TTATTATTATTATTATTATTATTATTATTATTATTATTATTATTATTATTATAGTGGCGTGAGCTCAGGCTTGAGCAGAATTAGAAATAGGCTAAACTGAACATCAAGATATAAAAAGTCTGTCTCCAAAATGTCCAGAAACAGAATCACCACTGACTAATATGTAGGAGAGGATCGATGGACAATGACCGCAAGTATTTTTTAAAAAGAATTTTGTTAGGGGGAGCGACAAACATACAAGCATTAGCTAAGTTATATTGTAAAGCAATTCACTAAAACGAGCGCGTATCATGGCCCGGTTAGTCTTTTTGTGTATAAAATCATTGATGTACTTACATTTAAAGCGTCAAGCAAATAAATATAATAACTCAAATCGATCACAAATAGAATATTTTAAAATCACTGATGGCGGCTGTTTATTTCATACATAGCCCATGTATTTTTTTCTTTTTTAAAATGCAAATTTAAACGTGAAAGAACAAGAACTCACTTGATGAGAGACTTCATAAAGGTCCAAACAAAAAGCCATGACCAGATCAGACTTTCCTCCAACAACAGAATACTGATATTCGGGTAGTTTAGCGCCTGTCTCCAGTAGAAATAACGTGAATAAAAGCTATTGCAATTAGCGAATTTTTAGCTTATGCGAACAGGGATGTATTTCTTGAATGAAACATGTGCTGTGGGATTCATTCATTTTATAAATTCCTGCGGGCGTCTCTTTTTGAAATGTTTCAACGGTAGTTATGTAAGCTCCATGTGGTGGGACGCCACGTGAGCTTTGTTCAAAAACATAATATTATTATTATGGCTAGTGTCCCCCACCCCCACCTCCTCCCCTTTTCAATTTTCACTCTTCTTTGTTGTTCAAACAACGAGGGCAGTCGTTAGTATTAACTCCCCCCCCCCCCTTCCGCACCCTGGCCTCTCCCCTTCCTTTGAGGTTTCAAGCTAGATCGTAGCCCCTAGGCGGCCTAGCCTACCCCCCTTCCCCCTTTGTCCGACAACCCTAATAGGGGGTGCTCATTAGCGCGATGGGCTCGGGTCGTCGGATCGTCGGGTCGGGTCGTTTTCAGGTGGTTTCAGTGCACGCTACAACAACCCCGGCGCGATTGCACCCGACGACGTGGAAGTTAAAGTAGAGAAACTTACTTCTACCTAAATGGCTTCCAAGGCTCCTTTCTGTAGTTCTCTGTTGCAGTGCTGTGGCAGCCTTTCATCCCATAAACATGGATTACACCGATAACTTTCTATTATTAAAGATCGTTCATAACGTTATTGTGTACAATCGTTGCTATTATCTTCTCTAAATTGATGGACTCCATTGTTGTCACTAAAGACTTGTTGATGGTATTTATTCGCGCGGAAATGCCCGACCTTGACATCGCAGAGTCAACACGGACACGTGACTCAGCCTTGTTGCTTTTGTTTTAGAAAGTCACAGACTGAGTCGATCGGTTTGTGCCTCGATGGTCTTTTTGTGCCCTCAATTAAGAAATTGTGAAGCCAAATTTTGGCTAGCCCGGTCTACCAAATCGACCCAACCCAATCCGATCGCGCTAGTGGGCACCCCCTATTATGCTGCTGATATCACCGACTTGTGAATTTTCCACAAGAGACATAATTTGAGAATGTTACTACGTCACCGACTGTGTTTATTCTGAGTGCCATTATGGACAGGTTGGGCTGACGCTACACATAATAAGTGATATTTCTGGTGTTACGTCATTTTAAACCCCGATACTCCAGCGACTGTGGCGCAACACTCGACACTTCGCCGTTGCACGCGGAAGACTTAAGTTCGACTCCCACGTGGGGACAATTTCAAGCAAGTCTTAAATTAAGGGTAGGGGGGGGGGGTGCACCCCGAAAGTCCCCCATTCGGAATAAAAATTATGGAATTTTAAATTGTAGGCATTATAGCTTCTCCAGCCTATCTTACAACTATTTAATTTCATCGCATAAGAAAGAACCCCTAAAGCCTTATTTCTTCCGACACCGGGCATGTTAGTCGCTGCCATTTCCCCATGAAGTGAGTCTTTTATTTTTCGTTATCGTCCGTTTTCTCGAAACATGGGTTTTCTATATATACTTTTTAAAATAACTCCACCATTTTTCCTCCAATTCTCATGAAATTTTCACAGAAAGAAGAAAATATTTAGTACAAAAAATTTGTAAGCATAATTTTTTTTTAATGTATGGTAAAGATTTTATTGGTGGTGTTTGATGAGTGGATTTTTTCTGATTTTTTGAGAACATGAATACTACATCAGGAAAAAATTCATTAAAATTTTTCTAATACGTTTAGGAAAAATTCATACTCCAGATTTGCAGATCTATTGTTTACCAAGATGCAAACATAACAAACAACAATTTATTTCCATGAAAAATAAGTGCAGTATTATAATAGTAATATAATAGATTAATTACATAAGACATGTCAACAAAATCCAATATGGCCACCGTATCCCTGGAAAAGAAACTTTTTAATTCTTAAATTTGATTGCGGATTTTAAGACTCCTTACAATGCTGGTTATATGAGTGAAATTTGGTAACATTTGATCCACTAATAATCGAGATAGCCTTCAGTTGCACCCCCCCCCCCCCC